GTGTTGCACCGGTACTGTTGTATATATATGTCTAGTGTTGCACCGGTACTGTTGTATATATATATGTATAGTGTTACACCGGTACTGTTGTATATATATTTTATGTAAATTCACTCATTTCTTATACTTTATCTCGGGATTGGTGTAATAGTTAACGTTCGGGCTACAGATCGAAGAGCCCTATGTTCGAGTCCTGATACTGTTTAACACGCTCCGAACTTTCAGGTGTGTGCACTTTACAAAAGTGACAGTTAGTTCTGCATAATTCGGTCCAAAGAATTCTACCAAAACCCTTTGTTGGCGGGTACTGTGACTGATTGCCTTCTCTCTGGCAATTAGTTCAAAATTAGGGACGGTTATACCTGAGCCCTAGGGGTCAAGCCATTTAGGCTACGAGAGCATAAGGCGCCGTTCAGATTCATAATTCAAATTTTAGTTTCTGTCTTTCATTTCCTCTGCAGGAGAAATGATCCAAGTTTTTGTGTTTTTTTTTTCTTCTCACTTTGCATTTCAAACTTCCGTTTTACCCAAGTAAGATAATTAACTGAACATGTTCAGTGGCATATCGCGGTTCGAACCTTGGACTCACCGATACGTATTTTAGCACGCTAACCGCTAGACACGCCATCAGGCTCAGACTCGCATATTGTTTTTACAAATATTCAAGTGAGTCTTGCATAAAAAATAAATATATTTTTTTAATAATCAACGTTAAATGAATAAGAAACGTTTATGTATTCTGAACTTATCTGTCAGTTATAATATTTGAAAATTTCCTGAATAAGTAGCGCTCTTTTTGTTTTCGAATAATCCATTTTAGTTCTTTTTTGGAAGCACCTGGTGGCTCAGCATTAAGCCCGGAGGATTATTACGCTAAAAATCGGGTTTCAATACTTGCTGTTGATAGAGCACAGATAGCCCATTGTGTAGCTTTGTTCTTAATAACAAAACAAACGTAACATTTTTGGTAACATTAAACTGGAGTGTGCCGTGAACATAATAGCTCTTGTCTGAAATTCGTGTAGTTTTGTGCTTAACAAACAAACAAACAAACCTTTTTCGAAGATATACCTACGTGTGTGTATGTGTGCAGATAAAAAAGAAATAATATATATATATATTATAATTTTAGTCAAAGGAGGTTTTCAGCGAAACAACCGAAGGCGTTGTTGTTGTTTTTTTACATGAAAGAAGCATGAAGAGTTATCTCTGTATTTAATGGACTTCATAACTTGCTGCTTAACTCTGTATTTGATGGACTTCATAACTTGCTGCTTAACTCTGTATTTAATGGACTTCATAACTTGCTGCTTAACTTTGTATTTGATGGAGCTAATATCTTGCTATAGAGTGATAGTATCGAAAATATGAAAGTTACCAGTTTTAATGTGAAAGTTTATGATAAGTGACTTAAGTTTGGAAAATGTTACAACATGATTAGTTTCCCGGAAAATAGTGAAAAAAATGCTTTGGAAGAGAACTCTGCATGATTTGTGTTTCTTTTAGCAGTATAATTACAGACATGTTTTGAATTGAAGCGTGAGATTGACCTGTTTTATTACACGTGTGGGTTATGTTTGAGCTGTGAAGATTAGACTTAACCCAAAATTAAGTGTTCTCCAGCTCTTCCCGATAATGATAGATTTATTTTAAGTACGTTGTTAAAGACAATCGAGATAAAATTTGTTTGTTTAAACACAAAGTTGGACAATGGGGCATGTTCGATGTCTGCCAAGCTAAGTAAAAGTCATGAGGTGTATTTAACACGTGAAATATGTTACTCATCCATAGACACCGACCTTTTAAGATAGCTGAAAGACAGTAATAAATCAAATGATAGATCAATTAAATGCCTAAAGAAAAAGGTGTTAAACCAAAAGCATGGAATGTATTGTGAAATAAAACATAAGCGTGCAGGTTATATAAGATATAAAAATTAAACTCAAAACACGAGTTTTTAGGCTGAGAGAACGCACTGTATCACACTAAAAAACGTTTGTAAAGTATCTGTTATACATTGGTTATACAAAAATTCAAGTTTTTAGACCATCTACAAATAAACTGTTAAAATAAAAATTCAAATCTTCAGAATATCTGTTGGACTGCTAAAACAACAACAAAAAAAACAAGTTTTTTGAATATATCTTACGGCGCTAAAATAATTTTTCAGAATTGCTGTTAAACACTACCAAACAAACAAGTTTTTAGAGTATCTGTTACACTGTTAAAATAAGAACAAGGTTTTAAAATATATGTTAGACACTGATATAACCTAAACAAATTTTAGAAACGTTTGTAAACTGCTAAAACATAAGTTTTTAGGATATGTATTAAACGCTTCTAAAACATGAACAAGATTTTGGAGCATCTATTAGACGTTAATATAATATAAACAAGTTTTTAGAACATTTGTTAGTCACCGCTGAAGCTTCTTGATGAGCGTTCCCCTAAAGCACAAACCGTAACTGACAGTACAAGGCTTCAATTGGTTTAACTAATAAACGCCCCCCAGTGGCACAGCGGCATGTCTGCGGACTTATACCGCTAGAAACCGGGTTTCGATACCCGTGGTGGGCAGAGCACAGATAGCCATTTATGTAGCTTTGTGCTTAATAATAAATTCAATCGAATCTTTTACGTCTATTTCTATAACGTGCTTTTGACATAATAAGTAGTAAAGCTTGTTGTATTGTTATAATTAACTGCTACCTGTAGTAAACAAAAGTTCGATCTAAGTTACAGATTGAAATAACAAAAAGATAGGGCGAAAAAAATAAAATAATTATAGACTCCATCATTTGTCCATATTCATCTGTGGTCGTAGTTGTTCGATGAGAAGAGCTTTTAATTTTCTGTCAGTGTACTTGGTGAGGATTTGTACAGAGAATGGTGGATATCAGGTGTTGTTTGTCTATAATTAGTTAAACTATCATCTGCGTTTCTTTCATATTGTTGTTTATAAAGAGAGTCAGTATGTTCTCCTAACCTTGTGTGTGGGGTTCTTTCGCTTTCTCCAATGGCAGATGTTACATGAAAGCTGGTAAACAGCACTGGAGACCAGACACCCATTTTCAGTCTGCAAACACGTAAATGAAATAAACCTTCAGTCATTGTTAACCAATAACAACACGTAGCCCTTCAGAGTATCTAAGAAAGTAATAAAGCGCTGATTAACTGGTTGGTCTCAGGTTAAATACAAACGTGACAATTACTTGGCGTGTGTCTAACAATGCTCTGTACTTGAGAAGATATGCACGCCCGCTTAAACATGTGCAAATATATAATTTGATTGTTTATTAGTCTTGCTTTTGACAAAACAGCGTAGAACACTATCGTTTCCAAAGCCATTTCTAAGCGTGCTAGTATGGTTCATTGTTTTTTGTTTTTTATCACGTTTGCTGCCACCGGTGGGTCACAGGCAAATTATGTTTCAACGCCAAATTTCTTTTGTGGCCTGCGAATTTGGGACACTGTGACTGCTCCTTGGCACCTCTTGAATGTTTAATTATGCATATATTATGCGGCAGCGAACGTGTTAATGAACATTGTCACACCTGTTTAACGAAATTCCATTAATAGTGTTTGGGTTGAAGGAAAACTTAATAAACACATTTTACATAGTCAATAAATAACTTCATTTCTATAATATAACTGACTTCAGTAAATAATACATAGGAACGTATGTATGGATGTTGTTACCCACTAGGTTTACTTGTGATAACTGTAAGCCTAGTACGTGCTAGTCTATTACAGTCAACTTTCAAGCTTTGAGACTACAAACGCCAGAACAGATTCCCGTTTTGGGGCAGTCTTATCATGATGACTAAAGTTTTCTCATAGAAGTACTTTATGTGCCCCCTAAAATAAGCATATACATAGTCATGATTTTCTTCATATTTGCATTTAGTAAAATATAGTGTTATGCGACTTTAAAGTTTGTAATGCAAACTGGAGAGTTCTATTCGTTGTTAAAAGAAGAAAACACGATCCATTACTAATATAATTGGTTTAACAATTGCATATTTATATATAAACATCCTACCGAATAGTTTTGGATATGATAAGTAGTAGATGGTTATGAAATTACCGATGAACTTAATTTTGAATAACATTATTTTGTACACAGTCGCCATGACGTCTCAGCCCTCTAACGAGTCAGAACTCCAGCTGTATAGAGTTTTACAACGGGCCAACTTGCTGTCTTATTACGACACCTTTATTTGTCAAGGTAAGTCTATGGAACTGTATTTGAGTAGTGTTTTTAGTAGTTATTGTCAACTTTAAAACATAACTGGCATATAAGTGTTTGTTGATAAGAAGCCTAAAATCACTAGGTTGAGCAATCAGACTGGATGTGATGTTGATCTAGTTAAATGAGTTGTATATCCATAACAAGTACACATACACTCACATGCATAACATATACAGTCTAACTAGTAAGAATTTCGCTTATCCGTACCATAAATCGCGTGCTGGTTAAAAAAAAATGTTTGGTGGAAATTAAGCTCTTCGTTTCCTGAGTTTCGCGCAAAGCTACTCCAGGGCTATAAACGCTAGTGATAAACTAAAGAGAAGGCAGCTAGTCAACACCACTAGTCGCAAACTCTTTGTATAATCTTTACCACCGAATGATGGGATTGACCGACATATTATAACACCTTTACGGCTGGAAGGGCGAACATGTTCGTCAGGGGATTCGGACCCACTAATTTGGAGTCGAACGCCCTAACTACCAGGCCTGCAAGGCCTTTGTAAGCTTAGAAGAAATCGGTAAAATGATTATTTATATTTCGGTCACGTTCCTTCCATATAATTTTCCAAATAATTATGTACTCCTAATGAAATTAATTTCGCACAACACGTTGTGTCAACAGCGAATTTTTTTTCAATCTTACAGGAGAGAGAGAGAGAACAAAAAGTCTTAAAAGTCGCAATACTTTGTCACAGATTTCCGTGCGGGTTAATCTAGATACTTACACAATTCTTTCCTAAGCTTTATTTTTCTTTTTTTTTTAGTTTTCAAAGAACTGTGTTCTCAATCTACAGGCTAAAAGAATCTTATCAACAATGATTTATAAAGCAATTTCAGCTAACAACGACAACAACAACAACAAAAAAAAACGTTACTGACGTCACAGTTCGTGACGCCAGTGCCCATTATGTTAGATATGTGTAGCTGGTTGAAGTATTAGCTATTGGTTGACGAAACTATAGGATATACACGTTTATCTTCTTTTCTTTTTTAACCGTTGGCCAAAAAAATCGCTTATACAACAGACGAGTCTTGTGTGATTTATATAAAAGTTTGAGATAAAGTAGATACTGTTAAAGAAGGATTCTTTTCACAAAGTAATATTATTAACGTTATACACGTTTTCGCTATGGCCTCTTCGGTAGGTATCATCTTTGTTTCTTGTACTTTCGTCAAAATTTATGCTGCTTCGAGACAATTATTGTATCTTAGTTAATTAAAAGAGCAGCCCATTAAAGCCAAAACTACCATGCTTACACTTCTCTGTTACCCATCAAAACAACATGTTATGGAACGTCATTTCAGTCTTCTTTGAGAACAATATTTTTAAGCTCAACAGTTAAATAAATGTTATGGATTTGAACTGGCTATTGTGGTACAGTATTTGGACACACACTTATATGTTACTGATATAGAAATTGACAGATCGTTATATACTTTATATTATTGTTTTTAAGTAACTAAATGACTTAAGTTGAAAAATTATTTATACAGTTTCTTATATTTTTATACACGAAAATTAAAGACAATACTTGGTGTGGAAGTAGATGTGAAAAAAAAGCATTGATTATAAATTCATGGTTAAGGATGCACAGTTTAATTTAAACTATCGGAAGTAACGCTCAGATCGTTGTATCTTTATCGATAAAAATTCAAATATTCGTTTGTGTAAAGTAAATACTGTAATATTAGGGCCAAAATGTTTAACAATAGATTAGCAGTATCCAATACACATTTAAAATTTAAATTCTCACTATATGTTTTACCAGAAGACGACTATCGCATAGTAGCTTAAAGCTTGTAAAAAGTAAAATTAAAATCAAAAGGTTGAGTTTACCCGTTTATTGTTTATTAATACTCCACGCGTTATGATTCTCAAAGAATATAAGTGTACCAAGCTGCTGATAGATGGCACCACGTGTAGGTGTGAAGAGACACGACGCCCTTGGTGTTTACCTCTTTTCATACTACTGTGCTGCTCTTCAAAGTGCTTTACACGGAAACATGGAAGTTTCTTATGAGCACAAAGCTCACGACCTAAGGATATGAATTATTCATTCCTCTAACGATTGTATGATGCTGGATGTATGACAAGAAGCATAACTTATAAGGCCCACTTGTTCAATGCATGAAATATTCACAACTAGTAGAGTTATGTCTGTGGGTCAACTTAAAACCTAAAAACACGAGTAAAATAATCAGGGAAGACTTTCAGATCTAGACTTTCTTGGTTTATCCATAACAGTCCAACTGGATGAAATTGTACACTTTTATTATTCAATCAAAAAAAAAAGAAATCGCGATGAAATAATAAATTAATTACTAGGACTGAAGTAGCCTCAATAGTCTTATCAATGCTATGGCACCATAAAGTTAATCTTAATTAAAATACTTTCTCTCGGGACATTTTGTTTCCCAGGGCTGGGTGTGACCTAGTGGTTAGCGTTCGGGACTATGAATCGAATCTGAAGGTCCATGGTTCGTGCTCTGCACTGTGGGGCATCAAGTGCGTTTTGAAAGTGACTGTTAAATCGCACTGTTCTTTTAGAGTAGCCAAAGAGTTGGAAAGTGGGTGTTGTTGGCTAGATATCTTCTTTGCGGTCCATCAGTTCAAAATTAAGGACGACTAGTGCATATAGCCCTTGTGTAGCTTTATTTAGATTTCAGAAACATTTTTTTGTATGCCCGTAGAAACAACAGGATATTCAAGTACATTTAGGAATGGAGATTTAGTTGGGTTAACAATAATTTTTTGTATGCCCGTAGAAACAACAGGATATTCAAGTACATTTAGGAATGGAGATTCAGTTGGGTTAACAATAATTTTTTTGTATGCCTGTAGAAACAACAGGATATTCAAGTACATTTAGGAATGGAGATTCAGTTGGGTTAACAATAATTTTTTTGTATTACTTCAAATGTGTCTAGGTTGCTTTTTTTTATGAATTAAAGTTGTACTTAACATTCTCCTCTAACTTAAATTTAGAATTACAGCAACATTGCTTGGAAAGTTGAAGAAAATTCTGTCTATGGATCATTAGGATAAATCCAACTATTGCTTTCCTTTTTCCATCATTCGCCTTTAACTTTTTTGATTATTTGTTGTCGAGTATGAAGTTGATATTTATTCTCTGCTCACCGCAGGGACAGAACCCTGAATTTTATCGCTATAAGTTGAGCCACGGGATGAGGGGGGAGCATTTTTGTTGTACTGATTAAACCTCAACAAACTATATCTCACGTATAAATCTGAAGAAGGGGTTACTAGCATCATATTGCTTAGGGGCGGAATGCCTGCGGACTTACAACGCTAGAAACCGGTTTCGATACCCGTGGTGGGCAGAGAAAAGATAACCTATTGTGTAACTTTGTGCTTAATAACCAAATTCCCATGTTATACTTACGTAAAGTACCAATTGTATAATCATTATCGTTACAGATGTGGTATCAAATAGTTGCTTCAAGACTGTGTATGTTTACTACAAAGAAATGTACATTCCTTTTGAATTAAGACAGCGTGGTTTTGTTTTATATTGCTACCATTAACGCTTGACCAAGAATGATAGTAGTTCAAACGTATGTAGAAGTAATAGTAAACACTTCTATTAGGACCATATATAAAGTTAATTGACTGTTGTAAAGGAGTTTCAGGGGTCTCTTGTATACAATTTGGTTGAAAATACTTGAATTAAAGCCAGAAACTGTGTTGGGTTCCCTGTTACCTTAACCTCTGACATTTAGGACAACTTTAGTAGTAGCTTGGCCATCTTGCGCACACGCAATGAAGTAATTATAAATACATAAATGGGCAGCAGTATCTAATTACTGCGTTTCCTTCAGAACATGCGAATCATTTTTGGAGGAATTGGCATTTCACTCGGACATTACACGTAATAAAATAATGTTAATCATATGACAGTGTATAGTAAGTGTTTCCACTCGTATCATTGCCACGAAGAATACATAACGTGCAGTTCAGTAAATATTATTGTATAACAGAGCAAGAAATAACCACTTGGTCATGCGTGTTAATAAAAATGATTTCAAATTCAGTAAAACAAAAAAAAAAACTTGAATTAATTAAAATAACCCTTGGATTGGCGTTCACGATGATCAGAGTGTCCTGCAAGACTGGAGGTTCGTAAACACGTGATTCGCGTTCACGTATTTGGTACTTTGAATATAAAGTGTCCAAAAGTAAATATGTCAACTCGGTGTTGTTTTTGTTTGTTTTAAATTCCGTTAACGTAATGATCCTATTTTGCTCATTTTTTCCTTAACTTCGTGAAACAGGTTAAGAACCTCGTAGTAACAAAGTCGCGATGTTTTCAAACATCTTTTAAGAAATAAGAATGTTTTTATCGTGTGTGAAGCACGTGCTTCCCCGCTCTTGAGCGTATTTTCCACGTAAATGATATCACTAATTTTTAACATATCTTTTGTATATGTTCAGTCTTGAGATGACAGTGTTCTCCTTCATCTTCAGTATAATATTTGAAAGAGAGCGTTAAATCTTCCGAATGGTTTTATCTTTCATTTTTATTGTTCTAATTGAGAATCATATTTGTACATATTAACCAGCATTTGAGTTGTGTGTCCTATAAATTGCTCTCTAAAGCCGCCTGAAACGAATCGGAAAATACTGCGTCTCGCAAAGAATTGTCCTGATGTTTTAAGCTGTAAACATATTGTTCTCGTTTTGCATTGCCATCTCTTGACTAGAAATATTGTAAATGAGACGATCCCTTTGATATCCAGCAGTGTAATATAATAAGCTATGAATGCATTAGTGAAGTATCAACCGGCTCCTGTAATACATCAGTGGTTCCCGTTTTTCTTGAGATGCTACGAAACAGTAGTCGTTACCGTTTATGGAGTAACTAGTATAAAAGCTCGTCAAAAATGAGGTGCAAACAAAGTTTACCACATTTGAATCCCCCAATATTCATTTACAACTTTGCCGCCCGAAACAGACATAAGAAAACTAAAGGGCCTTCTAGATTCGGTGAACCAAAGTTTATCATGAACAATATCTACTTTATCTAAAGAGTGTCTCTTCCCACCATCGATCCTTGTCCCAGTATTCGTTGATTACAGTTATTTTCTAATCTAAAGAGAAGTTTTTGAACGATGATTGAGTATTTACAAGAAATGTGGTTAAAGAGAACCATTGCAATAATACAATTGTCGTTAACAAACAACAAATTAAATTCACTCGGTGAAAAATAAATCCTTGGAATAAAAACTCCCTCTTTGACAAGTTTTTATAAAGCAGAAAAAGTTCCGAAATTTAGGAGCTATTTTCGCCTATGTTAGCGATTGAATTCAACCAAAATGGGGACAGGCAATCAAAAGAGGAAGGAAGTATTATAGAAGAAAAAGTGAAAGTGGACTCGTGTAAAGAAATCGAGCGTAATCGACACTCGGCTTTTAAGATTATGATAACGCCCTTAATCGAGAAAAATGTATTGAGTTCTGATATAAGTATATATAAATATGCCCTGAAAATGGCCCATACTCATGTCCACTCTACATAATGGTCTGCCCCCCAGTGGCACAGCGGTATGTCTGCAGACTTACAACGCTAGAATCCGGGTTTCGATACCCGTGGTGGGCAGAGCACAGATAGCCCATTGTGTAGCTTTGTGCTTAATTACAAACATAATGGTCAAAACATTTCAACAATTAGAATGTATATTTTTACTTAATACGAATATAAAACACAAACCCGAATACATACATATAGATACGTATACCGTCTAAGGGGTATTTGGTATTTTCACTCCGTGGTCGTGCGTGGCCCAGGGGTTAATGACTGTGAATCTGCGGGTCCATCATTCGCATTCCATTACCATACTGGCCCGGCATGGTCAGGTGGTTAGGGCGCTTGATTCGCAATATGTAGGTCACGGGTTCGAATCCCTGTTCCACCAAACATGCTCGCCCTTTTAGCCGTGGGAGCGTTATAATGTACGGTCAATCCCACTATTCGTTGGTAAAAGAGTAGCCCAAGAGTTGGCGGTGAGTGGTGTTGACTAGCTGCCTTCCTTCTAGACAATCACTTCAAAATTAGGGACGACTATCGTAGATAGCCCTCTTGTAGCTTTGCGCGAAATTCAAAACAAACCAAACCATTATCACATACACAGAGATCTCACCCTTCACCTTTTTCTTTCCTTGGTAAGTATTCAGGGTTTCCCTTTTGACGGTCAAAGTTTATGGTTCCTCTTCACCCAAGTCTTTCTTTCCGGTCTCTTACCGGCTGACGCACGAGTTCACGGCTCAGCACCAACCCAAACAGCCACACGTCCGCCTCCTACCAACAGGAAGACCAAAAACGCCGAATCAGAGGAGACCATACTAAATTTATTTACCCAGAAATCAAAAATACAAATTACAAAAAAACAACGGAATAAGATAAAGTAATACGTATCAAAATAATATTAGACATAGAGTATTAATATAACATCGCACTCTATACAACAACATCATCACATTACATAATCGAACATAACAGTATGAACTGATTTCTCGTTACTTCAATTTAGGGTCGGAGGTTCTTTACAAGTGGGACAGTCAAATCCCACTTTTTGGTCAGGAAAGAATGGGCGATGGGTTCTGCTGTCTATAGTTTATCAGTTAGAGAGGGCTAGCACAGATAGCCCTCGAATAGTTTTTCGTCGATATTAGATTATAAACAATTTTCAACCCCAACAATACACTTCTTGCAGCACGTGTTTAAGAAGGAAGGCAACCATTTATCAACATCCCCAATCTGTGCAACCACTGTTAACCGATTATCGGGATTGAATGTCACAGTTATAAACCACGAAGCATGTTCAGCAACATTTCTCGGCTTGAACATTTAGATCTACCAATCCACCATGCTAAACGATACTGCTCTTGGCTTTCTTTTTTTTTTAAGAGCGGGGTGCGCGGGAAGTGGTTATAATATTACAAACTTTTGATCAATACCTAATAACACATAATGTATTAAACTATTTGATAGGGGAATTTCTCATGTCCCTTAGATTTTTGATATCAAGTACATTTACGGTTTTCAGAAACATCAATTTCTCAGTAACATTGAAGTCGTCCTCCTTATGTGACGCATAATTAGCATACTTGTATACCAAACTAGTACATTTATCTAGGAGAGAGAGTTAATTTTGTGTTTATACTCCAGGTGGAGATGACGTACAGCAGCTCTGTGAAGCAGGCGAAGAGGAATTCCTGGAGATTATGGCCCTGGTTGGGATGGCTAGTAAGCCTCTTCACGTGCGACGTCTCCAGAAAGCACTACAAGAGTGGGTAAACAATCCTGGTAGGTAGATCGAGAGCACTCTCTCTTCCCTAAGTGCCATGGTTTTAATTATCCCCTTTGTTCAGCACGATGATGTTATGATATGTAATTCGTTCTTGAAAGTACTGAATGCTTTATATCCGTTTAAAATTTAAGCGTGGCATCCTGATTGTTTTAAATTAATTATGTGCTTTTGCTTTTCCCTTTATACACCGTGCAACGTTATGGTGGAAGCTGTTGCCATGGCTACATGATTATGTTCAGTTTTAGTTTAGTCAGCCATGTTTGCTTTGATCTCATCTCTGACCAGTTTTAAAATTTTTAGTTAATTATCATCGAACTTCAGCTGTTAATAATTTGAATAAGAGACTAGGACATCCCTATCAAATGTTTACATTTTTAGGCCATAAGTGGACTGCTTACAAGGGAATAATTGTGTGTTGACGACAAAACATATATTATTAGCGTACAATTTCCATAACTCTTAAAGTAGGCTTTATATATCAGGAAAGTTGTATTTCTTCTTTAATTTTTAATTGTCTGCCGTCTAATGGACATTTTATTTTCAACGATACCAGAGATTAGAGGTAAAGCAACTTGATATCTTTCTTAGACCGTACTCTACCACAATAACAGTTTTGTGTTGTTAATTTAAATGTGTTACCATCGTAGACAATAATCTATTAGAACATTAGTTGTTTTGTGTTGGTAACATGAACGGTAGGATAATTGAATAATATTCCCACTGTGTCATTTCCAAAAAAAAAACCTTATGGAAATTCAAAAATGGAAAACTTGTTTGATAATTTGCAAAAATTATATTGGGATGACGATTTATAATGCTCAGCTTTGATTTAATACATGAGTAGATTGTATAAATGATTTAATACATGCATAGATTGTATAAATGATTTAATACATGCATAGATTGTATAAATGATTTAATACATGTGTAGATTGTATAAATGATTTAATACATGCATAGATTGTATAAATGATTTAATACATGAGTAGATTGTATAAATGATTTAATACATGCATAGATTGTATAAATGATTTAATACATGCATTAAATCATTCATACAATCTATGCATGTATTAAATCATTTATACAATCTACTCATGTATTAAATCATTTATACAATCTACTACTCGTGTATTAAATCATTTATACAATCTACTCATGTATTAAATCATTTATACAATCTACGCATGTAGTATTAAATCATTTATACAATCTATGCATGTATTAAATCATTTATACAATCATGTATTAAATCATTTATACAATCTATGCATATGTATTAAATCATTTATACAATCTACTGAGTAGATTGTATAAATGATTTAATACATGAGTAGATTGTATAAATGATTTAATACATGAGTAGATTGTATAAATGATTTAATACACGAGTAGATTGTATAAATGATTTAATACATGCGTAGATTGTATGAATGATTTAATACATGAGTAGATTGTATAAATGATTTGATACATGTGTAGATTGTATAAATGATTTAATACATATGTAGATTGTATAAATGATTTGATACATGCGTAGATTGTTTAAATATAGATAAGAAAATACATCTTAAAACATCGCAACGTGATGTACAGGTTAGAATTGAACATTCCTGACCTTTTAACCCAGCAGACTTGTCAATAATTTCGTCAGGGTTCACATAATTGGGTATATCTTGCTCAATTTACAGAATTGCTAGATCAGACAGGCGTTCCTGACTCATAAAAGATCTGAGGTAAAGACAAGCTTCAGCATGAAACGACTTTCTCAAGGAGCAACTATCACGGGAAGTGTAAATACAAGCTTCAGTTTGTTGAAACGACGTTCTCAAGGAGCAATTATCACGGGAAGTGTAAATACAACCTTCAGCTTATTGAAACGACGTCCGCAAGGAGCATCTGTCACGGGAAGTGTAAATACAACCTTCAGCTTGTTGAAACGACGTTCGCAAGGAGCAACTGTCACGGGAAGTGTAAATACAAGCTTCAGCTTGTTGAAATGACGTTCACAAGGAGCATTTGTCACGGGAAGTGTAAATACAACCTTCAGCTTGTTGAAACGACGTCCTCAAGGAGCAACTATCACGGGAAGTGTAAATACAAGCTTCAGCTTGTTGAAACGACGTCCGCAAGGAGCATCTGTCACGGGAAGTGTAAATACAACCTTCAGCTTATTGAAACGACGTCCGCAAGGAGCAACTATCACGGGAAGTGTAAATACAAGCTTCAGCTTGTTGAAACGACGTTCGCAAGGAGCAACTGTCACGGGAAGTGTAAATACAAGCTTCAGCTTGTTGAAATGACGTTCACAAGGAGCATTTGTCACGGGAAGTGTAAGATAACTTCTTACAGAAATTTCTAGGTTTGGTATACTGTATCAAGGCAGTTGTTATGTACAGATTGAAGGAAATCGTTTGGTGTTGCCTTTTTATACTTGGAAATATAGAAGTGGTACTGGGAGGGGAAGGAGCGCCCAAAACTCAACTCATTTTCTGTCCTTTGATACCCCGCCCTTGCCACGGCCGTGTGTTAGTATGTGTATGGACACGTATTATCTGTATCACAAGATTTATCCACAGTAATGGTCCCAGAAATGTTAATATGCAAAGAAAGAAGTTACCGACAAACCTTTTTAAATGTTCCGTTCACGTGCCAAATGGTTCAATCGTATACGGCCTTCTTTTGTTTTGTTTTTTTCTTCTCTACAAAATTACATCTAACTATCTGTGTATGTATAAATGTTATACTAGTGTGTGTTAAGTAAACTGTAACTCTAAATGCTTTCAATATTCATGTTCAGTCCTAGCTAGAATTTGTTATAGATATATATCTTTGATATTTGAAAAAATTGTCAGCCAGTAAAATCGAGTTTAAATCTTCGCACGCACAACGGAAATGGCGAGGTAATGAATGTAGAGCTATATATTGATACGCATTCCCACCAGAAAGAATAGAAACTTCGCCGAACGAGGAAATATTACGCGAAACAGATTTTGTGTCGGTCTTTTTTTTTTTTTTTTAGAAGTTATAAATAAATTCTGGCTTTCTGTACTTTTCTTGTACAGCCAAAGAAAAACGGAAAACAACAAGAACGTCTTGTCCAACAATAATTCGTTCTTACTCTACAAATCGGTAATCTTGTCAGGTATTTTTGAAGGCTCCCATAAAGTCGGCTACCAAACAATATTTCATGGTAGACAGTACAAACTAACAATATAGTTTTTCTTTTCCTGTTCACACAACGTCTTTAAATGTTGGCCTTTGCCACGATGTATCTGTGACGATGTAAATTCTTAACTATGCACTCGAGGCAGTATTGATATTTGTGCGTGATATGGCTACCACCAGACGTGACCTGAAGCATCATGCATTATTAAACCAAATCCATATACAGCAAAAGCTTTCCTGAACACAGGCTATACACATTGAACTTGCATATACAGTATATCTTCTCTATTGATCTCCATTATGTTAGACAGTTCTACTTTTCTGTGGATTAATTACACTATCAATATCGTCTATAACATTAAAGAACGTATAGATGTGGAATTCTGTCATACTTTTGAGTTGTTTTTCGTAGGACAAACTGATAATGATGATGTATTATCAGGAATGTAAATTGAGGTCATATAGATAGTATGTATTTTATCTGAGTAATTACAAGTATGAAGTTCTATGCTCGAGAAATATACCGTATTTTTCAGTGTATAAGACGCACTTTTTTTTACACCAAACTTTGATGTCAAAATCTGCTTGCGCCCTATACACCGAAGGTGTGAATAATATATATATATATATATATATA